CTTAGGCAATCCTTCTGCCTCAGCCTCCTGAGTATCTGGGACTACAGGTATGTGCCACCATACCCAGCTAATTGTACTTCTCATAGAGACAAGGTCTCACTATGTCGTCTAGGCTGGTCTCGAACTCCTGGGCTCAAGCAATTCTCCTGCCTTGGCCTCTCAAAGTGCTGAAATTACAAACGTGAGCCAACAAATCTGACTTCAAATTTATTTTCCTGAAGTGTATATTTTTTAAGAAATGGTTCATCGATGCATATTTCTCTTCTTCTACTAGGACTTTCTTCACATTTGACTAGATAGTCAAATCCCTTGCCAAATACAGAAATGATGGACCTAATTCCACAGATATTTGCTTCAAAGACAAAGGGAAAAAGAAACAGAGGGAAATGAAAAAAAAAAAAAAAGAGCCGAAACAGAAAGACAAATGGATATAAAGAAACAGGAATCGTAGCCCCACGGGTGACTGCATTCCCAGTATACAGGGCTCAGCACACAGTAGCTGCTCACTAAATACTTGATTTGATAGATGGACATTTTTAAAACTACACATTCTTCACCATCTCGGACAAATTCATAAAGAACAAAGAACATCTATTCAAACTTTCCTGGGAAGCCTTCTTTTTAAAGCTATCAGAGATCTTTTTGTCTTTGCATTTAAAAGAAAAACACCAAAAACTGAAGTAGGTATTTTTAATTTAAAATGTGATTAATTTTTATCATAGCAAGCATCTTATTAGATTCATATGAGACAAATTTATGACAAGTCAAATCATATTTTTATATGCTAAATAGACACTTTTTAATCTCTCAGAACCTATTTTATATTAGCTGCCTATACCTTGTCTATTTTATGGGACTTAGAGTACAATGCCATACTTTATTTAAACTACAAAGATTAAGAGTTGCTAGGTCTCTTCTGCATCATTCTGAGTAAAGCTATGATTGAATGCTTGAAGAGTCCTTGTTTACCTCTGGTTTTAATTAGAGTAAACTTGCATCCCAGTTTACCTAGGACAGTACTAGTTTATGCCTACCATATAGGTATAACTATTAATAATGCTCTTCATCATTCTCTGAAGTGTCAGGGTTTGGATGATAAATTATATTATGACTCTAGTTATGTTGTACCCCACTGGAAAGAAATGCTAATTAAAATGATCTACTATGGCCAGGCATGGTGACTCACACTATAATCCATAGGAGGCAGAGATGAGAGGATTGCCTGAGCCCAGGGATTCAAGATCAGTGTGGGCAACTTGGTGAGACCTCATCTCTACAATAAAAATTAAAAAACTAGCTGGGCACATTTCCAGCTACTTGGAAGGCTGAGGCAGAAGGATCACCCGAGCCTAGCAGGTTCAGGCCACGGTAGCCATGAGCATGCCACTGCACTCCAGCCCGAGTGACAGAGTGAGACTCTAACTCAGAAGAAAAAAAAAGGATCCATTTAAAACAGAAAAGTTTCCTGAACACATTGTGGTGCAAAACAGAGGCTTCATAAAGCAATTTCTGATTACCTTACCTACTGATTAATGTATATGCACTGTCTCCCTAGACTGTGAGCCCTGGGGAAGGAGCATTTGGTCTTCCTCCATATCTACACTTAACATCACCACCAGTACCACACAAAAGAGGGTCCTGAAATATTGGCCTCACAGTTTTCTGTTCATCTGATGTGTGTTGAAAAGAGCTGAATTTTAGCCATTAATCTGGAAAAGGTGGGGGAGAAAATGGAGCTGAATTGACATTAAGAATGTAAAGTTGAGCCGGGCTTGGTGGCTCAGCCTGTAATCCTGCACCTTTGGGAGGCTGAGGTGAGTGGACTGCCTGAGACCGCGGGTTCAAGACCTGCCTGGGCAACTTGGCGAGACCTCATCTCTACAATAAATCAAAAAAATCAGCCGGGTGTGGTAGCACGCACCAGTAGTTCCAGCTACTTGGAAGGCTGAGGCGGAAGGATCGCCGGAGCCCATCAGATCAAGGCTGCGGTGGTCGGAAGCAGCTATTGCACTCCAGTCTGGGCAACAGAGTGAGACTCCAACTCAAAAAAAAAACAACAAAAAAAAGAATGTAAAGTTGTTGACATCTATTAACAATTCAGCAATTATCAGAGGTAAGAAGGACAGACAAAGAAGACTTATTTATATACCTAACCCTTAATTGTACCCCACATCTTTATAATAAATAAATAAATCTTTTTTTAAAAAAAGGAGCAAGCCAGGCGCAGCAGCTCACGCCTGCAATTCCAGCACTTTGGGAGGCAGAGGCAAGAGGATTGCCTGAGTCCACGGGTTCTAGACCAACCTGGGCAACACGGTGAGACTCCATCTCTACAATAAATTTTTTTAAAAATTAGCTGGGCATGGTGGTACATGCCTGTAGTTCCAGCTACTTGGAAGGCTGAGGTGGAAGAATGACCTGAGCCCAGCAGGTTGAGGCTGTGGTGGCCATGAGCAGTGTGCCACTGCCCTTCAGCCAAGGCGACAGAGTGAGATTTTGACTCAAAGAAAAAAAAAAAGGAGCCAAGAGACCCTGTGACCCTGTTTTTCCAAAAGCCCAAAACAGAAAACTCCCATGAGATTTTATGACCAAATATAGTCATGAGTGCTCACATCAAAGAAGCCTGCAGTATACCTCCCAG